ACACCGACAAGGCGGCGCGCCTGGCAGAGATTGTTCAGAGCGGCAGGCTAGAGCCTCACCCGGTATCTGGCGAGGTCGAGGTAGACTGGGAATACGACGCGAAGACGAGGTACAGGCGGCTCGATCTCGAGACCTTGCAGGCCTTTGTTGCTCTCGAGGAGCTTGAGTTGACCTTCCAACTCATCTACTGCGTCGGCGACAAGGATGGCGGCGGCGACGGCTGGAGGATCGGCGAGGTTAGCGTCACCGACAAGGCGGCACCCTTTGGAACTTTTGGCGGCTATTCGACCATCGCCGAGGCCGAAAAAGCCTATGCAGACGAAAAGTCAAAGGCGACGACGACGTCAAAGGCACCAGCCAGCTCAGCGTACAATGACGCTGCCGAGGCGGATGACGATGAGGACGATGGCTACTGGGACAGATACGACGCAACTCCTGCCCGCACGCCAGCAAATGAGTCCCCCGCCGCCGTCAAGCGTTCCCCCGCGCCGCACGTACCACAGGCGTCGCAGCTGGGCCAGTTCCGAACCGACTCGGCAGAGGATGCGTACTATGCACAATATGATTCAGTACAACCGGCAATGGACGCTCACGACCCCGACGAAGAGGTTGAGGGTTTCGAAACGGCCCCTCCTCTGGGACTCGGCGCTGTTGTAGGCCAGCATAACTCGGATCAGGGTCTGAACGAGACAAACGGCTCCTGGACACTGGCTGAACCCCCGCGGTCGCCCTCGATTCATAGTCAAATTGACGAAGACAGGGCTGCTGTGCTCCTTCATCCGCGCCCGGCTTCGAGCGCTAGCAGCAACGGCAGCCGCTTGGTCGAGAAGCTCGAGGAGAGCGTGGGCAAGCAGGACCAGAACGAGTTCGGCGTGAAGCAGCACGTGTCGAGGAGCATTCGCAGTCTCTTCCTGCTGGCTCGTTCGTCCGGTATCGACAGGGAAGAGTTTGAGCGGTTGGTGAAGACGGAATTGGATGTCCTTGGCATGATTGAAGACGACGAGGTTTGAAGCCACGAGGCTGGCGGACTTTTCTTGTATATGACGTTTCTCCTCCTCGGTGGTGCTCCGTGGGGATTTCCGCGGGATCAGGCTGTCATTCGGCATAGGGTTGGGTTGGGCTGCATGTAACGGGGCGTTTATCCATGGCCATATCTTTGAATACTAAGAATTAAAACATATATCTTGTGAAAAAAAAAACCTGTATCAGTGAAAAAAAAGTACAAGTTATAACGAGGAAGCAGCGACCATCGGGAAACGTGTTGGCATATAGCAAAGAAACGCTCAACAATTCCCGTAGTCTGATGAGCGAACCCCGGCGCTGATGATAGTTGAGTACACGTCGGGGAAGAAGATGTTGTCCAACAAAGTGCCAACGTTAGGCCTGTTGACCGAATAAAAACTTGAGGAAGAAGGAGCGTGAACAAGAACAAGAATGGGCGCCTCTAAGTTGATCGTAAAGCCATAGGTCCATAAGTTAAAGAAGTCAAAGTAGTCGCATCGAGGTAGTCGTCTATTTGGCCGGTCCCAACTGTTGTGAACCTTCCAGCATGCCGCGGTCTGGGATAGGGGGGGGGGGGGGTTCGAAATGAGTCGACGGCTGTCCAACCGTATCGCCCCTACTAGGTATAGGTAGTCTCGATCGTCTGATCTCTGACATTCCTCGCGACGAACGAATGGGGGAGACTCCGATGTAGGCTATATCTAATTACGGCACTTAAGTTGAAGATGCACTGTTTGTAGAAGATCGTTGGCATTGACTTCTCTTGTTGCTGGGAGCGGATCAGGTGATTTGCTGATTTTGGATCTTGGCCCATTGGGAGCATTCGCCAGTGGAGTGAGAAGTGTTGTCCGATGACGCTTGACGAGAGAAGATACATGTGAGTGTGTAGCAAGCCCTTCACAGAGAGCGCGCAAGGAGGATCAGCGACCTTGTTTGCTCATGGGTGGTTCTCAGTACTGTGTAAGCGCCCAGTCAGTCTTTGGCGGTGGTGTGTGTAAGACGAGCGGGCGCGCGGGCGGTTACGCAGTCGCCGTGGGCTGGAACCGAGTTCATGCCGTAAGCATTGGAATTGGCGGTTACGTTGGTGTACCTGTTCAAACGTTGGTCGTGACAATGATAGCCTACGATTGTGGAAGGATTGGCGGGACGACGAGTGGCAATGTCGATTGAAGGCTGGGTTTGTAGTCGATGTTGGTGCATTCACGGCTTAGAACCGAACCATCCGGGAGGAGCTTGAGCAGTGGCCGGTCGCTGATTGTTCCAGTCGATCAAGTCACAAGAAAATCCAACACAGGGTTATCTTTCTTCCCGAAATCTTCGGAAGATGCTCCTCATTAGTTGTCATGCCGTGCAAGTTGGAAGTTGCATCTTGTAAGTTGAAGCCATCACCAAGTGCCTCCCGGCTCATAGACCCACCCCCGAAAAAGACCCCACAAAACATCGGAACGTCTTCGCGCCTCAATCATAAGGCCACAAACAAACGCGCCAATTGGACACGCGGGAACAGCCGTCCCAAAAAAAGTTCACCATCGTCGAAGCTCCCGGCCTACAGCTTTCCCTTTCGTCGGCGACACGGTTCAACTTCCCTACCACGCCCCTCCAAACGACCGTCCTCCCCAAGATCCACCAGTGGTTGAGGAAATCCGACATACACATACCACAATAATGTTCTCACGATTAAGGTTACCGCGCATCGGCGCGAGCATCGCCGCCGCCGCCAGAGCAGCACCGGCCAGACCTCTCCAGCAGCGCTCGATACACTACGTCCCCCAGCTCTCCCACGACTTCAAGGACGGCGTGCCGGGTCTGCTGTCGGCCGACGGCTACGATATGGCGTGGAACCAGTACATGACGCTTGTCCTTGACAAGCTCAATGCCTTGATTGCAGGTCAGTCTACGCTGTTCTCCTTCTCCTAACTTGGCGATCCTAGCTCCCGTCGCATGATAATCTCGAATCGTTCCAATCACATTCAATGTGACACACAAAGCAACCAGAGATATACTAAACCACAGCAACACAGGCACCGACCTCGAACAGCGCGACGTCAAGCAAATCCTCCTCGCCTCGGCCCAGGACCCCTCCCAAGCCCCCGTCTTCAACAACGCCTCCATGGCGCACAACACCCACTTCTTCTTCAAGAACATCACCCCGAACCCGAAACCCATGCCCGAGTCCCTCGCCGCCGAGCTCTCCCACTCCTTCTCCTCCATCGACACCCTCCGCCGCGAAATGATCCTCACCGCCTCCTCCATGTTCGGTCCCGGCTTCGTCTGGCTCGTCAAGGCAGGCCACCAAGACTACCGCATCCTCACCACCTACCTCGCGGGCTCCCCCTACCCGGGCGCCCACTGGCGCCTCCAGAGCACCGACATGAACACCGTCGGCCTGGGCGGCTCCGCCAACAAGTACTTCCAGCGCAGCGCCGCCGCCCAGAGACCGGGAACGAAGCCGCCCGGCGCGCTCGACGCCGTGCCGCTTCTGTGCCTCAACACGTGGGAGCACACGTGGATCCGCGACTACGGGCTCGGCGTCGGCGGCCGCGGCGGCAAGAAGGCGTTTGCTGAGGCGTGGTGGGAGGTGATTGACTGGGAGGCCGTCAACCTCGCGGCGGACATTCCTTCCCGGCCACAGTTCATGCGGTAAACTAAGAAAGGAGGAGGTGGGGGTGAGTAGTGATCGCCGGACTTGTGGGAGCTGCGAGAGCTGGTGGAATGATGGCTGTGGCGCGACTACTATGCGACCTAAAAGCCGCTATAGGGGAGCTTAGCCAAGCTTTTTGAAGAGAGCTGGGGCGAAAGGGGGAGAAGTGAGGAGAGACCCGTCCATCGATACAGGAGATATCCCCCCTATAGTCCTGCAAGATCTTGTGTGGATAGCAGTCGGGGGCGGGCGACGGACTGGCAGACTACATGTAGGAATTATCAAAAAAGGCAAGACGAAACTGTAAGAATAGAAACCGCTGCGCATATAGAGAAGATGGGTGGTTGCAGAGTAACATGTACTATTCCTGTACTACTTTAAAGACTTCCCCCCCTTTGGCAATTAAGATCGTGCCATCACTCTGAACCGAACAAATTGTTTAGATGTGCTCTATAGATTGAGTACGACTCTTGGTCGTACCACCGGGCTCACCCCCTCGGCCTCTCCATACAGCTGCTGGCAAGGCCATACCTTCTCCTACCCTAAGCTGCCCTTGATCCATTTAGTGACAGCAAGGGAAAGGGGAAGAGAAGACCTAGGAAGGAAATTTTGATGGTCCTCAACTGGGCCTTCGAGATAATGCGCCTCGTCTAACCGCGCCCGGCTGGAGGTGATGCAAAAAAAAGCTTTGCCCTGTTGATATCTTGAAACCGATCCAAGGGGCAAGGTAAAGTCACCTCCACGCCTCTCTACGCATACATTGATGCCGCAAGCGAAGCAACGAAACAGGACCGCAATGCTCGTTCTTCATGCAGAGTTCCAGAAAAGGGCCCGGCCACTATGTCAGACGGAAACTGCAGAGAATCCCCGTGAGCTTCACCGGGTCGAATTAGCTCACCCACAAGTAAACCTTCCATTGCCCTTGCCTTTCATCTTTGCTTCGACTTGGAAAAAGAAAAAAAAAGGCTTCGATAGATGGATTCTATTCGAGTCGCTCAACTCAGCAAAGACTCTTCATCGTCTCGTCTCAAACCCCCCCCCCCCTCTTCCTCTCAACTCTGTTTCCCCTGACTGCATTTCGCGCCAGGCCAAGACTCTCTCTTGAGCAAAGACCAAAGTTCAATCTCTGATACATCACATCACAAGGGAAGTCTTCACAGCTTCAAAAGTCACGAGAAGAAAGAGCAAATGGTATTCATTTTCATAACCGAGATCCCGGAGCGTCGCCCACAAAAGCGGCTCGGCTCCTGTTCAGGTCCCCCCTATTTTCCAGTTTGCAACTAAACTCTCTCAAATAGCTATAACAAAAAGTTAACTTAGGTATCATGGTAATCCCTCCCAGTAGTAAGTAATATGTTTAGAAAAAAGGGCAAAGGAGTGTCTTTTCGTTCCATTTCATTCCGTTTCCGTTCCGTACGTGTTGTTTTCTTTTTGGTATTTTGTTTTTCTTTTCGGTTTTCATCAGAGAAATAAGAGACAGTGAGAAATAGAATAATTATGTTCAGTAAGGAACCTCAACAGAGTTGTCCAAATCAAAATCCCCGGGTTTCCTATCCTTTCCCTCCCCCCCTGTTGTAATAAATAGAGGAAAAAAGGAGTCATATACCCGGCGTCAGGTAGAGGGGGGAGGGAGAATCTGATTTCAAGGATGTAACAAATGCCGCTATCCAGATGACTTATGCAAGAGAGGAGATGAAATGGAAAAAGGAGACGAGGGAGATGGTTCAAGCTTCTCAGAGTGCCCGAGAAGCTCGACCTCTCAAAAAAGAAATCCAAAATATGGCAAAAGAGTGTACCAATGACGACCTTTCATAAGAGAAATAAAGTCCCCGAGGCAAATGTCGCTCGCTTGCTGGCTTGCTTTGCTTGAATTGAAGATGAAAAGCAGTGAAAAACAGACGTTAAACACGAAACGCAAGTCATTATCGGATATTCGGTGCTTTTCTTGGCTTTTGAGAAAGGATCATTTCGACAGGGAGGTCTAGATCATGTTGCCGTTAACACTGACCTCGAACCCATCACCCTTCTGCTTCAGCGCCTTGGCGAGCATCAACTCCCGCATCCAATCGATACGGTCATCGCGGCTCTTGACGGCAAAATGATGTGTCTTGCCCGTGCCGTTGGCGCCCTCGGCGGGGATCGACCCGGAGCTCGAGGAGTGCCCGTGCCCGAAGCCGTGCAGCGCGCTCCCGCGCTTCCGCAACTTGGCGCCCGCGGACTCCTTGTCCTTGTCCTGCGGGATGAGCTGGAAGCTAAACGCCGCAACGGGGTCGCTCTTCTCGCGGCTGTGTGACGACGAGGAGCTGAAGTGGACGGCCTTGAAGGCGGCGGAGAGCTTGCTCTGCGACGCGAGGCTGGAGCACGCGATGGCGTAGTCGTCGACGTCGACGTACTCGAGCGTGCGGTCGACCGTCTTTGCGTCCTTGTGGACGGCGAGACGAGTGCCCTTGAGGGTGCAGAAGGTGTCGTTCCACTCGTGGCGGAGCATCTTTGTCTTGCGCTTCTTCATGGGGCCCTGGAAGGTCACGCCGTCCTGCTGAGCGGCGGAGGCGGCTTGTTTGACGGGGAGGGAGGGCGCGAGGTGGGTGATGGGCGGGATAGCTTGCTCAAAGGGGGTTGTGCGCTCGATGGGGGACCAGGGGTAGTTCACACGGGGAGGGGCTTGGAGAGGCTGCTGTTGCTGAAGGGGTTGAGGGCGGACGGATGTGCGTGGGGAAGTGTGTCTGGGTGATGTGCGGGCGATGGGGGTCGCAGTGTTTTCGTTCAAGGCGGGAAGGACGGGGAACGAGGGGCGGCGGGCAGAGGAGCGGGATTGGGTGCGGGAAAGGGGCAGCTGCTGCTGCTTGGAGACGCCGGGACGGTAGTTCATCTCAGGAGGAACAGACTGGGACACGTCGCGGGCGATGCGGTCCATGGGCACGGCAGTGACGGGGACATCCATCTCGGAGAAGGGAGTCCCGAAGCGGTAGGGGTTGTTGATGGGGCTCTGCAGGTCCGGAGACATGGCCTCGGCCCGGTCCATGTGGTAGGGGACGAAGCCTTGCGGCTGCTGCTGCTGGTGGTACTGGGGTGTCGGGAGCGGCTCCGGGTGGGCTGACGGAGGAGGGACTGTCGAGGCGCGGAGAGGGCTGGCGCGAGGAGCCTGCTTACCCGGGATGGAGAGCTTCGGCAGGTGACGGAGGCGTTCAGGCTGGGCCTTCATGGCAGGGAAGCCCATCTCGAAGGGGGGTGTCGGCGGCACCGTGGTATCCTCGTGCTTCTGGAAGTCGAGGAACTGGCGCACATTGTCCTGGGGGTCCCTCGAGATGACGTTGCGGAGGGCAGCCTCTTGCAGATACTGCAGAGGCGTGGCGTTGCCGGGGCCCAGCACGTCAGAGGAAGCCACCACGGACGGGACGGCGTCCGAGACAGGCCTGAGGATTTGCGTAGGATCGAGGGCCCTGGCAGTGTGCGGATTGCCTGGGTTTCCGGTGATGACGACCTGTTCCGTGTCGAGGTCGACAAAGGGGTGCTCCTTCTTGAAGGCCTCGATGAGGCGCTGCTGCTTCCTCCACTTTGAGCAGTTCTCGCCCTTGGCGCACTGGTGCGGCTTGGGGACGACCTGCTCGATGCCGACGATGGACACGGATTCCATGGGCGTGATGATATCGTCGTGCGACGGCTTCTTGGGCCGCCTTCTGCTGCTCTTGCTCCTCTTCATCCCGCAGTCGTCCGTCTGCTGCCTTTCCGCCGCCCGGACCTCGCGAGTCTCCTTTTTGACTTCTCGGCTCGGCTCGTCTTGGATCGGCGTCGGGGCGCGTGGCGAGCTGGGTCTGCTGTCGCGCAAGACCTGAATCTGGTTCCAAACGCGCGTCCTCATGCCGAATGACGGAATGTCCAACTCCTTGAGATCCTCAAACTTCAACGTAATTAGGATGGGCCCGTTGATATCGTTCTCCACGAAGCGGCCGGCGACCGAGAGCTCAATGCCAGCATTGAGCATCGATTGCGCAACCATCTCTGGCGTCCATGAGACGAGCTCCCTCGACTCAAACTCTTCGTACGTGAACTGAAAGGGACCGCTCTGGTGTCTGGATGGGGGCATCGGCGGCTGCTGCGGTCTGATGTGTCGGAATGGTTCATCGAAAGGTCGCGCCGTCTTGGGTGTCACCGGGGACAGCGTCAGGATGGCCTCGTCAAAGTAGCTGGCGGTGGAAGCACGGAACAGGTGCGGTCCGGAAGGACCCTCAATATTCTTGTTTGGTGACTCCATCATCTCTGTCGCATACATCATCCGCCCTTGACTCGATCTTGGCGTCTGCACCTCATCGTAGGATGAGAGTGTTGTGATACTTGGCTGGCCGCCAGACTTTTTTGCGCCCACACACGTTAGCTATAGCCCTCTTGGGAACGAGGCCACTGCCGCTTCCAACAAAATCACTTACAGAGTTGACACTGATCCGAGGAGAGTTGTCTTCAAACTCGCTGAGCACGTCGTCGTCCCATTCCATGTCCATGAACTCGGTCGCCACCGACGTTGGCCTTTGCGGCTCGGCTTTGATGCCAAAGAACGTGTCGCGCATGGGCGCCTTTTCGCGCATCTCATGGCGCAGGCGACGCTCGCCTCTTTCATATTCTTGTGTGTAGTTCTAGCGGCGCAAAGTCAGCCTCAAAAGCCACACACCGCGTCGCAAAACCCCCGTTTTGACTGTCATTCCTCAACTCACCATTTTGTGTGTATGTGTGTAAGTGGTTATTCCCAGATACGGAAAGTGGGGTGGAGGAATGTTCAAGAGGGCGTGGACTGGCTATATCTGACTTGCAGTCTACAGCGTAGGACAGCCTCCTCCGTGGCAATTTTGGTACCCTTTTCTTCTTTGCTTTTTCCCGTACAGCTGGGAAACGAGGGGGGAAGCCGTTGCCGGCAGCACTCTGCTCTATGAAGCCTGTAGATACTTGGGGATAGCGGCACGCAGTGCAAGCTATGGGGAGGTTGAATACGCCTCGGGGCTAGCAAACAAGACCAGCGAAAAGGAGATGCCTAAAGGAAAAAGAGATATGAGGTCCAGCAGAGCCGAATATGCTCGTTTGGTATGTAACGGGTCGCAAAAGAGAAGAAGGAGGGGAGCCGGTACAAGGCGGGCGCCTACCGCGAGTTATGTATGTCTAGTGTGTCCATGCACGGCGGAGCAGTGTAGGGATGTGAGACTGGGGGGGTGGTTGACCGTTGAGAAGGAGGAGGAGGAGGTGGAAGCATGGTGGTTGAGAGAGAGTCGGATCACAGCACATACGCAGCAGCAGCAGAAGCACGCACAGGTATCCCATCACCTACCCATGGCATGCCCTCGTTCCCCAATATGCATGCTGGCTCTGGTGTGATTCGACCTGTGGCACTTGCACACGGCGCCGATGGTGGCACTCTGAACAGACCAGTCGAGTGTATAATAATAGCCCGGGTGGTGTGTGGGCAGGTTAGGTATCTAGGTTCTGTGTGCTAGGTTCTGTGTGCTAGGTTCTGTGTGCTAGGTTCTGGGTTGGAGAGACGACAGAGGCAGATAGAAGAGTGCGCTTGCGTGTACCTACGTGCGTGTGTGTGTGGCCGAGCGGGCAAAGGCCCAGCCCATGAATCGGCCATTCATTGAACCCTGAACAACGGCGGTGGTCCTAGGCGACGATACCGGCGTCGATTAGTTGTTGGGTGAAGATGTGAGGAGAGACAGAGAGTGAGTGAGAGAGAGAGGGAACGCTTCAAAGGCTGGTGGTTCCCCGGCCAAAGGGGGTGTGTAGCCGGGCAGCCATCCATGTGGATAGAGGTGCACAACCGGCAGCAAGCACTTTGCACTTGCAGCGAAGCACCACGCAGGACGCGGCATGTACTACGTTCGTCCCCCCCCCCCCCAATATCCCAACACAGGCAACTGGCCAGGCACAGGGCAGCACAGCAGCAGCAGTGGGCGGAAGCTGTGCTTGTACAGGCGTGGGGAAGCGTAGTAGTCAGTACTCAGCAATGGACCTGTCTCTGCTCTGTGAGGATGTGTGAATGGAAGGGGGGTGGTTCGAACTTCGAACAGAGAGAGGAGACAGAGGTTGAAGCGAGGAACGGGAGAAAGAGGGTCTAGGACGGCTCAAAGGTCGGGAAAAGTGTAAACCTGATTGGCCGGGGACGGGAAAAGAAGCTCGTGCATAGCGCCCAGCCGACGGACCTGGACTTTGGGCAAGAGCAAGAGGCAGGCGCTGGAGCTTCCCATTGGCCATAAATCCAAAGAAACAAAATGTCGTGGGATGTTATTTTAGGGAACGCTAACACGCCATTGGTTGGAAAATCGGGATACCGTGAAGTTATCTACGGGAATACATACGTACATACATCCTTGCCCCCGGCTTGCCGCTACGGCGGCGTTTAAGCGCCCGTCTTTCTCAATCTGGCGGCCACTCGCTGTTCGCTTGTCGTCTGAATAAGTGGGGCATGTCGACGACCACCCCCCGGTCGCCGGCCGTCAACGGCGTGAAGCACAAAAAAAAAGGGAAAGGCAGGAGACAGAAGGGAAAGAGGGGAATGGGGGTGTGGCACACATCCGCCGGGATGAGACCTTGCCATCCTCTTTCTCTTTCTCTCTGCTGTATCCGAACGGATACGTCTCTCACCTCACCTCACCTCACCTTCAATGCTTTTCCTTTTCACACCTTTTTTTGGGCAGTCATCCACAACTCCACAACACCCGATTGCGCACCCTCGTTCAACCCTCGCTCAGTCCACCGCCCGCAACATGGGCTCTTGCCTCTTGGTACATACACTCCGTACGTCCTCGAACTCGACTCTTCTGGCCCATAGCCCCCACACCATTCGAGCTAAAATTCCCATCACGCCCTGTCCATCACCTGCAAGGATACCACTGACAAGGACCAGGGGCAAGGACGAGCAGCTTCCCCGGCACACACACCTCTCTCTCCCCGTCCATTTCTCTTCTTTTTTCCTGATGACCTCGCACCACACAAGCTTGAAGCCGCATGCCACAGCAACAAAAAAAAGCAAAGAAAAAAGCTGCACTGCACTGCGCTGCACTGCACACTGCACGCTTTCCTCAACCCGCCCGCCCGTCCGCTCGTGGTTCGCTAGTGCCCAGCTTACATACCATTACCGATACAACCAGCTTACAGCTTTACCTTAGCTATCCATGCCAGAGTTCCCATGCTTGCTTGGCACCCTCCTCTCGCCTTTCGCGGCCTTTGCAGAGAACCCCCAAAATGCGCCGCCCACCGCCTGCTGTTCGTGGACTTGTGTCACTATCACCGCCCACGGCCCACCACCCATCACTTATCGGACCTTAGCTGTCATCACATTCCAATCTTATCAAGTCTCTTTTTTTTCCCCAGGATCAAGCCCAGCACCACACAGGCGTATTCTTAGCTATGTCTTTGACACTTCCCACCTTTAGTCTGGTCAAGGCATGTGGATCAAGACAAGACGAGACAAGCCATGTGAGCGCCCTGCCCAATCCCGTCATGGCCGTCCTCTCAACGGCCACCCGAATCCTTCTGACTGGGAAACTTTCCCAAGGAATGCAATGGCCCGTAGAAGTCCTGCATCGTGCGGCTTTTCTTGCCCAGCAGTTCGTTTTCCCGTATGGCGGGGACGAGCAAATCAGTGCTACACCGTGACCGGCCACCTTACTTGACCGTCCGTCAACCATACGCAGTAGAGAGAGGCCCAAAAAAGAAAGAAAGGGGAGAATTACAGCCACATCTACACCCCCTCTCCCCATTTCTGCCTCCTTCATGTTGCACCCTCGGCTACCTACAGCCCACCGCACACCTCCGATCCCGACGAGTCTCGACTCTCAAATGTCCACGGTCCAGGGCCAGGACCCCACCCTCACGATCAACTGACTTCCCCTCACTGGTCTTCTCAGCCACTCAGTATGCCCATCGGGCCTCCATCGGAGAAATCCCCATCAAACCGAGACTACCATTCCGTCCGGGGGTTTTCGACGAGGCCAATGGCCTTGCGAGAAGCCTCTTTTACGAAAGGTCCCAATATGAGGCGAGATTTCGTCTTCCTCTTGGAATTGGTCCTCTTGGGTGACTGGACTGACATGGGACGGTTCGGATCTTAATGGGTCCTGCCACGCCCAAAGGTGACCTTTCTTCGCCCAGTTGGCCCGTTGCGCTCCTCATCCTCCACCTTGCGTGTCACTGTCGGCGCAGTCCGTGGATCGCTTATCATTAGTCTCGCCTTGCCCTCAGCTCGCAAATCATGCGCGCCTCTGGATACTTACTTACCGCCCAATCGCTCCGTGTCAATAGCGAACAACGTGACCAGGCAGAAGCTGTAGCTGTGGCACATGACCTGCGCAACTGGCTCACCATTGCTGCCAGGCAAATTTGATAGAGGCGAAGAAATCTCTCAACAGTCAATGAATCCCCAGTCACATATCCACGTATGACTTCATACTCACAAGTCCTGCAGATGGCGGTCAAAAGTGTGACGAGAGGACATGGTTGATGCAGCAGCAGCAGGTCTCTTGGGCTTTTGCATTCGTATGTATGCACCCGTCGCTAGCTTCCATAGCTTGATGCCGTGGAATGGGAACTCTTGGCCTTGTTTGCTGGATGAGAGTCTCCATCCAGCGAGCCATACCTATCCCAAGAGGGACAAAGGGGGCTGGCAGAATGTGCTCTTGATAGGTAGACGACGATGGACGGTCTGGAGATGGTGGTACGACAAGACCTCGGTGGCCAGCTTTCTACCCCGCAGAGCCGTTGAGACAAATATGCGATACATGCCATGTCCGAAATGTGGTTGCTGCCACACTCTTGTAGGTTGGCGGATTGGGATGCGGTGATATCTGATAGAGCTGCAGTATCGGACCTTGCAGAATTTGGGAAGCTGACACCACCACTCTGCTCTCTCTCTCTCTCCGGATACAGGATCTGACTCTGCTAATCGAAGTGTCCAAAAAGCACATCTGATTGGGGCGCAGATAATGACATTGGAAGAGTCAAAGCATTGGTGAGTTGCCGTTGCTACCATGGTGGCAGCCGATTCCGGTCCCAGAAATTCCAACCCCTCTCCCGGCCGGCAATCAACCAGTTGCGCAACATCAACTTCTGTGTGTCGGTGTCGGTGAAGCACCACACATCTCCACATGTAAGGGAGCAATAATGTGCTTCGAGGAACGACAAGAGGCCAGCGCAGAGAATTCCCGCTGACTCATAAGATAGCCTAAAAGTGCTGTGAACTTGTGAAGGTCGACCCCGTACTTGCCTTAGCAGTGTGACGCTCTGCAGGGAAGCATAAAGCACGCTCCCGCTACTGCATCCCCATCTTCCATGTTCATTCCAGGTGGTGTTCGATGCGTCTCCGAGACATAAAAAAGCCGTGGCGGTATCCGACGGGACAAGAATTTGTGAATCATCTGCAGTCTTGCCTTCTTCACCGACTCTTCACGTCGTCTGGCATGCCCTTGGATGACCTCATCCGATCATTTCCGCGAGACAGGAGAACATGTGTTCAACAATGCCTCAGTGTCTCGGCCAGATCAAGAATCTTTCCTTGCGCTGTTGTCTCAGTCCCTTCAACGGCAATCCATAGAGAGCTTGTCCGACCGGAGCCGGGTCGCACAGAGAAACACCTGGTGGTGATTGAGGTTAAACAGCGACCAGTAAGAGGCCGAAATGCGAATGGCGGAAGGAGATCCCAGCAATGGAGAATTGGCTGTCGATAATTATGCTCCGCGGCCGACTCTACCCGATGGCCATTCGAGATTCAGTGTAAGACCAGGCCATGTTCCAAGGCAATTGGGCAGGGCGTCCGCATTCAATTTCTGATCCTGGAGGAGGATCATCGAATATGGCTAACCCTAACGTGGGCTGGAGCACAGTGCACCTTGTACACACCCCTCAGCCCGCAATTGAGCCCAGCAGGGGTTGATGGCTATAGTATGGTGGACGATGGTGTGGTTTGGGGGAGGCCATCCTCGAATGAATTGGCGTATTCTCGAGGGTGTTTTTACCTTGTGTGTGTTCGTGAGAAACGACGTTCTCCAGACATGTCTCCAGTGCGCAACTCATGTCCTCCAATGAGTTGGCTGGAACACGTTTTCACGCGCTCTCACATGATGGCGAACTAATGCGAGCCTCGCACTACTGTTGTGGATGGATGACTCTCCCGCTCATGTCAACCAGTGGATTTCGATGCTGGAAAGGGGATTGTGATGGTGTTGACGAGTCTCAGAACCAGAACTCGTTGCATTGTGACCGTTTGCAAGACCCTAGAAATCTCTTCGTCAGATCGCATGGCGATGCGGCGCGGATGGCCTGAGCGAGACGGATGCAGGTCATCGTGATTTCGGTCCGCAACTGGCGCTCCACTAGTGGCATGTCGAAAATGGCTGCCATCTCGTAGTTGACAGGGCGAGGCGAGCCGATACAGAGGGCGTGGCTTAACATCTGCAATGTGCTTGGCATCCATCTGCCACGAGTCGTATCGCAAGCAGTCAATTTATCCAGACAATGGCAGGCATTGTCCGTAAGATAGCTCTTCAAGGTTTCCTTTGTCATTCGTATCCTCAATGCAACATCGAATTCGTAATTCATTGTTGGTTGAAATGCATCCGATGTTGGGGCCTAGAATGCTAAATCTTCGGTGTTATTTGAATTGTCGATTGTTGAAGAGAAAGGTTGTCAGCTGCATGCCATCCCGTAATGTCTAGACATGCGACGTTGAAAATCATGCAAACTTTCCTATTGTGCCTTGGGGTCCGAAATCTGACCTCACGGGGGCCATGTTCTCTTCCAAATTGCAACGCAGTATGCGCTGTATTTGTGATTCTGTGCCGCAATACAACACAGTATTTGAGTGAATCGCGGCGTTGGGGGTTGGACCTGGAAGCTTAGATCCACAGATTCAGCGGGAGGGCGGGAGAGCATGGATCTGGTACAGTGCTCCCGTACGGTACGGAGCTCAAAGCTGACAATGTCGGCCAGGGTGTTCCTGGCCTTGTGAGATTTGCTAGGGAGTCGACCACAAAGGTTTGTCTGCCGCTTTGAATAATGCCGCGATCTTTCTTAGTTCGCGCGTCTTCTTCTCCATGTTTACGGACGTAATATTTTCGCCAAAGGCAAACAATGAGCCCAGAGACAGACTAGAGGCCGTAGGTTCCGACTAGGATCTGTGTCGATGTGCCGCGCGTGGCTGGGGTCCAGAAGCGACGCGATGTTGCGCCGTTCGCCAGCTGTTAACGGAAGAGCGGGAAGACTGGGATGCCCAGGCGTGGTTTCTGTTCTCCGCAAAATCTAGCGGCCGCATTCCCTGCAATCCGATATCTCGACCCTCAAGGTTCAAAGATGCTGTTCACATCACATCACATTAACCTAGCCACAACAGGACAGTGATTGGGGATGATGGGCACACCTCAACGCCTCAAAGTCTGTCCGCCAATCAACGGCGCGGGGTTTTGCTCGCTGCCATTGACGACTCCAGAAGATGAAAGCCGACATAGGTAGTGGAGGGAAACGATATGTGTGATCTGGAGAAAAGGAGATTGCACCGTGACAGGGGCGTCCTTCTGTCGCCTCTTTCTGGCTGAAAGCAGGTACGAACGAGGCTGTTGACCTTGCAACCGGAGTCGACGATCGCCTCAACTCAATCGAATGGTTCAATGCCACCATATCCGCAGTGTAGTATCCGTCATGTACAAGGGGAAATGAGGGCCCGAGGGTGAGGCACAAAAACAGTGTCTTGGCCACGCCGATCGTTGAATCATGCCATATTTGGCTGCGAGAGAATAAATATTTATGTCGAATAGTGTTGTTATATGTGCCGCACGAGCTGACAATGCAAATGAAAGGGTCGGATGTAGATGAGGTTGTGATAGCGAGCACCGATATCAATCAGTTGGGCACTGACAGTCTGACAGAACGGCAACCCGACCAGCGAGGCACATGTGGCGTCTGACCGGATAAACTTGCGTCTTCCGCGGGACGGACGCTGACGAACGGCGGGCTCTACTGCGGCGAAGGCGGGACGTAGTGTATCCGTACTGCGGGACGGGCAGATAATTGTTGCGCACTCCGCGAGCCATGGGCCCCCTGAGACTCGAGAGACGCGATGGGCGACGATCGTGGACATTTTGCGATGATTGTGATTGTCAGCGGGCAGAAAGGCAGGCATCATGTTGCGAAGGAAAAGAAAGAAGACCCTGGGCTGTTGGCTGATGACCGCGTGCGCAGAAACCTAGTCAAGGTAGGTACGGCACGGATGCTGTACAGGCCGGGTACTGCCTCGAGGCGGCGAGCTGTTGGTTCGAGCCGCCGATGCAAGACCGTTCGTTACTGACGGGTAGGTTTGCAGTGTACTCCGTAGACCCCGGATTAATGGCAAACCAACGCTCCGTCGAGTGTATTGGCGTGAACTAAAGTTGACGGAGTTCGGATGTAATGGCGGTAGGTAGTGTCGTTGGAGCTAATTAGGTCCTTTGGGCGATGGTGCCAGTTGGGTGGGAAGCTGTCGCCATAATTAGCCCGCATGATCTAAAAGTTGGCAGACTATCGATATGGGGTGATATCGTGACCTGGCGGGTTAAACTCCCGGATAAGAGGGACAATCCTCTCAGATTGGGGGTAAAATAAAAATAGAAGCAGACGACGGTTGTTAGTTGGCGTGACTGAATTCTGCGGGTGACAGTAAACAGCTGCAGCGGCTAGACGATGTGACGAGCTGGATGACGCATGGAGAGGTGTGCTCAAATTAGCCCACATGTCAGAGTTGCAAAAGGGCAAATAGTGTGACGCAAAGAGGGTTAATTCGATCACGCATCATGAGCTGGGCGGCTAATTAGGCCGCCAGAAATAGGACCAGATGGGATCATGGATGAGGTTTGTTCCGAGGGTGACGGATGGCCAGATGGTCAGATGAACGGTACCTATCCGTACTGCTTAAGCAAGCAATGGAAGGTACAGGGAAGTGAAGATGATCCGAGTATTCCGTCTCGGAAGGTGGTGAGGGTGGTACTCCGATGCCGTACCTTAGGGCAACGTAGCCAAGTACATAGGTAGTCCGTACCTTAGCTCACCAGGCAAGAGCGTCCTGTTGACGGGAGATCACCATCATCGGCGGACCTTGCCCGACGTGCCCCCTCCAGACAGCAAACTTGCCGTGCGGCGGGCGGCGTGCCTGCCAGATGCATACGGCAAGGAAGGTACCTTAGGTTGTCGTTCGGCAGCACTTGCACGGCACGGAAGGAAGCGGAGAGCAGGAATAGGAGGGGAAAGAGATGAAGATACGTCACCGTGATTGGCCGAAATTCGTGAGGAAAGCACAAAAGCCAGATTTTGGCTGGCAGATGGTGGACAAGCATCTGAGGAACGTGCCATGCGTGCCTTCCGCTGCAGCGCCTCTGTTTCCCTGCGAGGGCAAGAGCAAGAGACAAGAGGGGCAGGAAACATGGAGCTAAGGTGCCTTAGCATGCGAACCCCGCGAGAAGGTGCCCTGTCACTTGCCGCGCTCCTGCCGCGTATTGGCCAAAGCTCTGCCCCACCCGGAGGACTAGCTGGGGGGTCCCTGACCAATATTCCTGCACGATCTTCTCGCTTGCAGCAAACAATAGCCAATCCGGGGCCGTAGCGGTCCTTTCACAAGAGCTTAAATCCCTGCGACATCACAAGCGCTAATGAACGGTTGGTCCCGAAGCCCTGCACGAGACGACAGGTCGTCACACCTCGCCGTCGAATCAACGTCTGCGCCAGCCCTCTTGACAAAGGAACCTCGACTGCACCGACAATGACGCTAACGACGTACTCCGTACCTCTGTCAGGCTGTCCAAGCAAAGAGGTGGCAGGTGCTGGAGACTGGAGAGGGAAAAAGAAACGCAAAGCAAATACCTCAGAGGAGTAGTACCTACCTACCATCGGGAGGACGAGTAGCCAGCCGCAACCTTGTCCCTGTGCCTTTCTGCAGCCGTTATTCGCAACGACTTCGGAGTACAGCAGGCAAGAAGTAAAGAAATCCTGACGGCTTTGGCGGAGCGGAGCACCTTGCACGACATCTCCCGCGGTGCCATGATACCCCCTTGCTTGCTGCACCTGCCACCACTTTCGGCTGTAGTTGGGTATCGATGGCCAAGTACCGGCCTCGACATCTTCCACTCTCCATCAAAACCCACTCGCTCATCTTTGGAGATGGATACTCGCCTCACTCGCCTATCCTCCCCACGATCCGAGGTATTTTCACTCTCTTGATTATCTACGGATAATCCAATTACACCAAGCACAAACCCACCTGCTGACAGGCTACAGGATACAGCAAAGCACCCCTGAACTTCTCGCCATGCACGACAGAAAGTCCTAGTTCCACCGTATCAACTCCGGCAGCCACATTCGACCGACATTGAGTGGCCGTATGGACCATCCAATCCGGGAGCTGACCGCCTTTCTCGGCCTTCTCATTTGTGGATGGACTTTAGAAGGCCCTGTCTTGTTCGGTCGAGTCCAAGTCTCAAAGAAGAACATGAGGCAAGATGAGATCCAACATCGCTCTCGCCAGAGTCGGCAACCTGTTGCCAAAGTAGCAAACACTACGGGACCTAATTCGACGGGGCTTGAACTTTCACCCAGCATGGGTCTTTGGAGAACCAACAGCAATGAAGATCATTCCCAGAAAACGATCAGGCTAATTGCCATATTTGATGCCATTCAACGGGGGCTCCAGCGGTTGACTAGTCATGTTCCGCTCATGGTTATCCATCATGCAACCATGAAGCGAGGCTCCTCACATGGGATGATCGGATGAATCCACCGCGTTTGTCAGACACAGGGCTAACCTCACCAAAAAAGGCTGACAGGGCCCCATACCCATGCAAACCCGTAGGTTCTTGCCCGGCTTTCGCTTCTGGCTCTACGAATACCTACGGTAGTATTTCGATGATGGGTCCCACAAGCTCAGCGAACTGTGTTGGTGGTTGGCAAGCTTCATGCAAGTACGTGCGATCCTAGGACAGAGCTTGTTAGTGGGAGAAATGATCCACGACCAAATGTCATTTGCAAGGGGGAGCCTGGCTAACTGTAGCTCTGCTCAGTGCTTGGTCATCCGTCGGCCCCCGAAATCCTCTACTCAAATCGTGCCATCGACGGCCTGCTTGGCGGCCGAGGGGGACCATCTATCGATAGTACTTGAGGTCGGAGCCGGTGCAACGTATACAAGATAGATCAAGACCATACAGATAATCCATACGGATACTATTATGTGTTTCTGCAGCTCCGGCTGCGCAACGGACTCCCGCGGGGTGAACTCGCATCCGGGCGAACTGCTACTCGTAGCATCAAGTTTCCCCTTCCAGTCGATATTGAAGATCAGCATCTGCACCGGTCAGGGCCCGGGACGACAGAGTGGATGCGGTATCGACGGCGGACAGCCGGAGAGGCATATGGCCGGATGGAGCACAACTCGATAGCAGGTTGGCAAGTCGGGTTGGGCAAACAGGAGGCGGGCCCCATGTGGTTCTGCATGTCTCTGCGTAGGGTGGTGACCAGGTGGTCGAAGGTGTGCTTGGCACCTTGGTCCCCATGGCCTGCCATCCAGAGCCAGCCATGGCAAGCCACGATATGCATGCGTTGCCCGTTCACTCGCTCGACAGCTGCTCGCACCCATGTCGTCCATCTCGAAGCTGCCCCCCCTCTCGACGCGGAATTGTCCATTCCTATTCTATTCTCAGGTGGGGTCCAACAGTGAGTGCGACCGCCTTTGGCGGCCCATTCTCATTGGAGCCTGTAAGCGCAGGTCAAAGTCTCACGCACTCGATGTGAAGGCGGCCAGCCGGCCTGCCTTGTGCCCTAGCCTACGTTAGTCTGGAATGCAGAGCAGACACACACACACTCACGGCTCGGGGGGACGATGGAGACACACATACATAGGTGTATCCAAATTTAGAACAATATTGATGTTGGCTACGTAGTGAACACCAGGCAGACCACTCAAAGGCCCGTTGGTTGGCGCAACAAGAGGACGGTCATGATGAAGGCGGCCACAATATAAGACTTTGGACCATCCATCACGAACAATTGGATTCTGGCCTCCTCTCGTTGTTGATCTGTAGAAGTCAAGCAGAAGAAGAAGAAGAAGGAAAAGTGATCCAAGTGTTTGTTCAAGGTTTTTTCTCTCTCATTCATACAATTGTTTTTTGATACCCTCCGTCCACAATCTTCGGAAAACCCCAACCACTCGAATACCACCCGATAATCCAGTTCAAGGCAAGCCGGACTTGCTAAACGACCAGTCACTCATTCGACACCACCGAAACCAAAAAACCCACAGTCGATCACTCTCGACATATTTGCAATTTTACAATTTGCAGCGCGCCCATTGCTTACAGTTCACGAAACGAGATCAAATTTGCTGTTGCATTTTGAACGACAAGGAAGAAAGAAATAATTCAATAATCTGATACGATTTGGAACCTTGGGTTTCTGGAAACTCGACAAACCATTCGACAAACAACCCAGTCTCCCATCTCAAATTGCGTTGACAGCGGGCGAGTGAACAGACGATTCCTGACCATCGAGTCCCCCTCGTCGAGTTCTCCCCCCTCTCCAACATCGATCCCAGGTTGTCCCCGCCTTTTTTTTCACTCTTGGCTACCAGGAAAGAAAAAGAAGCGAGAGAGCACAGAGGAACGAAGACTGCTTCACCCAGCACACAAACACACACAGCACACACAAATCAGAAGAAAAGAGGAGAAGACCACAACGCGCGCACTCGCACTCTCACACCCCCAGGACCCCTGGTCGTTCTTTCCCCGGTCCAGAGCACAGTGTCGGTCGCTTCCGTCTCTACACAGTGTAACGGTTCCTGCCACGCCCCTCCACTTGTCGACCCTGGTCCCTGATCACCCCCCGGTCCACCACACATTCACACACCCTTCACCACACACCTCCCTCCCTCCTCTCTCTCTCCTCCGCCCCAGCCAGCCAGCTCTAGCTCTGTCCTCGCTGCTCGGCTTGTCATTCACACGCAGGTACCTCCATCGCGAACAGAAGAAGGGTACAAATGGCATCTCTACCCCCCAACCACATTCGAGAGGACTTCATGAGATCAACAGCTGCAGTCAACATGGCCGTCGCATCTTCTGCGAAGGCCAAGTCGGCCTGCAAAGCCAACACCACCAACAACAACAATGCCAGCTCCAAGGCAAAATCACAAATGCACCGCCGTTCAAGGACAGGTACGTTCATCCCAAGAATCCCCTTCTTTTCCCCAAATCCCATCCCATTTAGCATGGTATTAGCCATGCTTTACTTACACCCACATCCAAATCCCACTTACACGGGAGCGACTCTCCCTTACTCACCTCAAATCGTGACCTCAACGATGGTCAAACCTCATCTAAGCACTTGAGACTAATTGAATTTTCTACAGGATGCTACACCTGCAGACTGCGCCGCAAGAAGTGCGACGAGGGCTCGCCAATGTGCTCCGCTTGCAAACATCTTGGCTTGACATGCGAATACAAGCGCCCAATGTGGTGGAGCAACAACGATGCCCGCCGCAAGCACAAGGACGACATCAAGATGATTATCAAGCGCAAGAAGCTCTCAGAGAAGGCGTCGCACACAATCCAGACTTCCGTCGGCTCTCCTCCCGGCCTGTCGCACTCTTTGCCCACCTCTGCCACCTTTTCCGACCCTCTGGACCGCACTCGCTCCGCCTCCATTGACTCGCACTTCTCCCAGGCTTTCAACTTCAACAGCCCGCCAACTGTCGGTGCCGATTATGCTGCCTACAACCCCCAGATGCACCCCGACTTCATGTTCAGTGGCTTCCCCTCGCCTTACGAGATTGATGTCAAGACTGAGCGCCAGGTCTACATGAACGATGTGCCCACTCTAAGGGAGTCGACCATTTCCACTTTCAGCACCTACCACACTCCCCCACCTCCGGGAACCATCCTGCCTTCCTCCGTGCCCCTCGACGGCGAGTGGACCGAGCAGATCTACTCTGAGCGCAAGGAGTCCCTTAGCGAGGAGGCCCTCAACGTCAACTTCTTCGACTTCTCTCATGGCCCGGCCATGTCCAACCGCCAGGTCGCAGTTGAGCTTGACGAGAACGATCAGCGCCTGCTGGACCACTTTATCCAATTCGTCCTGCCCACCATCTTTCCCATCCTCGACTCCAACCAACATGGCTCAGTCGGTTCCGATCTGATCTTGCCGGCTCTGCAGAGCAACAAGGGTTACCTGCACTGCTGTCTTAGCATCGCCGCCCAGCACTACAAGGCGACCATGAACGTTCCCGGAGAGGAGATTGACCAGGACATCATGCGCCATCGGTACGCCACCATCTCGTCTCTTTGCGACGCTTTGAACAAGGACGAGAACCACCAGGAGATTCTCGAGGCTGCTTTGGGTCTTATCTTCTTCCAGTGTGTCGTCGGTCGCTTCGACGACGCACTGCCCGACATCCCCTGGCACCAGCACTTCCAAGCTGCCATCAGCTTGGTCCAGAAGCTTGACCTACCCCGCCTGGTTTCGGATCCCCATGAGCAGATAACCCAAACTCCCTTCAACATGACTTTGACCTCTTGGATTGACATTCTTGGCGCCACCATGCAGGGACAAGCTCCTACCTTTGCCCACACCTACCGCGAGAAGCACCTGTCAAACAACCCTAGCCTGGGTCTTCGCGAGCTCATGGGATGCGATGACCGTGTCATGTACCTCATTTCTGAGATCGCCTGCCTCGAGGCTCTCAAGGGAAGCGGCATGGACGACATTACTCTTTGCCAGCACGTCCACGCTCTTGGCGACCAGATCAACCTCACCGAGATTGGCGAGCCTGGTCCCAAGATGCCTTACAATAACAACGGAAGCCTTTCCCCTAAGCAGCTTTCCAAGAACATGACAGCCGCGTTCCGCCTTGCCGCTCGCATCTATCTTTGCAGCTTGGTACCCGGCTTCAATCCCGCGCAGGCTTCCTGTGTCGGCTTAGTTGAGAAGCTTGCCAACGTTCTCCAGCTTATCCCCTCGGGACCTGGAGGCTTTGACCGCAGTCTCGTCTGGGTCTACCTCGTGGGCGGCTCTGTCAGCTTGCCTGGCAGCTCTTTCCGCGCTCTCTTTGAGGACCGCGTTGCCCAGCTTGGCGATGTCTCTGACTGCGGCTCCTTCGGCCGCGTCGCCTCGCTCCTCAACGAAGTCTGGATGCAGACAGGCAACATCAAGAGCAGTGACAGCTGCGCCGGCAGCCCTGGTTCCACGCAAGGAGCTGAGGCGGTAGCATACATCCACTGGAGGGATGTCATGCAGATGAAGGGCTGGGACTTCTTGCTCATCTAGCATCCTGGCTGGTTCCGGGTTGTATAAATGTGTGCAGAAGGCTCGCCTTCCATTTGCATGGTATGTATACCGCCTCCGCAAAGGTGATTCAGGCAATCGCTTATTCCCTTTCGCGCAACCAGGGCTGCTTGGCAGCCTGTCTTGCACTGCTGGACACTTTAGAATCTTCTCTTCGATCTTCCCCATTTTGATACCACATTTTTCTACATTTACACCAACCTAATCAAAGGTTGCTTTGGGTTTACTAGAAGGACACGCCGCAAGGCACACGGAGCGGACATGAACGATGAGAGCGAAGACACTTGGATCACACTTTTTTACCTTTTCTTCTGACTGGACACTTTCACGGGTGAGGGTGCACGGGGCAGCTGGGCCTGGCTGCCAGGATGATGGATGATGACGAGGGATGATGGGAAAGGGACTGCCTGGGTGAGGCCCTGGAACATGCAATGGAAACATGAGATGCGACGAACGACTATTCTTCATTTATTCAGACGGAACACACTTTCGTCTGATATCTTGGTTTTTCTTTCTTCTCTTGGGTATACCATAGCATGAGCACGGGAAACGGGCTTCATCGGAGTTTATGTTTGGGACTTTGGGACTAGCAGTTCGGTGCATCTGGACTGGATCGGATGGATCAAAGAGAAGGGCTCTGGGAGCTGCGATGGGCTAGCTTCCCAGTTGACTTCTTCACATGGTACTCATTCGGTAGCCTTTCGGCTCTCTACGGAGCAGTTGGCAGAATCGAGCAGGATTATAGGAATCATGTAATACCAAAACATTATACCCAACAATTTCAAAAGCACTACTTTCGAATCATGCCCTGTCCCTCCCTTTACTGGGCTTTGAAAGCTGTGAAGAATTCCCTCACCAGTGGTGTCCACCGGCCGAGTCCGAGATTTGTCTGGGCCGGTCTATGCCAGGGTGGGGGGTCGAATCTTGGAAGAGTACACAGTAAGTTAAGGTAGGAAAGTTCTCCGGCTTACTGCGTACTTGCACGGGTGTGGCGAACACCACCACCTTCCCCCCTTGGAAGCACTTGGGCCGAAGCTTACGCGCAAATGGAACGATGGAGGGGAGGGTGCGTAAGACTGGAGTGACGGACGAGAGGAATCGATTACTGGACGAATTGAGCATGAGAGACAAGGAGAAAGAAAACAGCGATGGGGCGTTTTTCCTTTGGCAACTCGGGAGTAGAGGAGGGGAAAGGTGGGAGGTGAAGATGCAAGCTGCCGATCGAGGGTAGTACAAAGGGTCACTGTAACGTGTGTTTGCTCAAGGTGAGGTACCTAAGGCACCTTACAGTACAGTGTCTTCTTTGGAAGGCAATTGAAGCATGTTGCGGGAGGGTGCGGATTGTTTGGATGCGATGGACATGGCGTGGGTAGGTAATTGGCTCTGTGGGTGGTCATGAGGTAGCGCAGGTCCAAAGAATTTTCCCAATGAAATGGACGGAGAGCTTGTTCTTCTCATAGTGGGCCATATTGCTGTTCACACGCACTATAGTACACCTTACCTCGCTTGAGTGTACCGACGCGGTAGCGCCATCTCTTTTTCGGTCCTTTCTCTTCTTCGTCAATGGAGGTTGTTCTTGCGATGCCGGAGGGGGTCCGGTGGTTATGAGATGGGGGAAGGGGGTAGAGGTATGGTGGGAGGTTTGGAGGGGTAAAGAGGTCGCGCGGGCTGGTGGTACCCTGGGTTTGTGTATCCATGTCCCTTTGAAGTCTGGTGGTGTCGGTGTTGTGGAGGTGAAGAGATGGTTTGCCGGTAAGGTAGCGGTGAAGGTCGGCTTGGCTCGGTGAGCTTTGGCCCGGTGTGCGGCGGGGTGTTTTACCAGGTACCTTAGCTAGGGAGTGCCCTGCGAGGTGTGCGGTTCAAGGTGAGCTCACCTGACGTCCATCCTCGGTCTGTGTGGCTTGTCTTTGGCCGGGATCACGAATTGGGTAATCCCGTTTTTTCCCTCCCCGACACCGAGGTACTCAGGTTCGGGGTGATCACGAAAGAGGAGGGAGGGAGGGGTGAGGTAAGAGAAAGATCCGAGATCGTTGAGTGTGCAATGTTTCATGGATTGGAGGTCCGACGTCAGTGGTGAACAGGGTCGTTTGTTCCGAGTGCTGACGATATGATGAGTATTGAAAGAAGGGTTGATTGGAGACTATGGGGCCTGGGGTATTGGGAATGTGGACACCGAGTTTTGCTGGTTCTGCAAGAAACCCATCGTTGTGGGATAGAATAGAGTCAAGTCATCTGGAGGTCCATGGCATCATTCCTTTGCGTGTATTCATGTTCGCTACCTTACTGTGCAATGGGGGTGGGTGTGCGTCTGTAAAACAATACAGCTGGGGTGTTTTGAGGACCACAGTATCGAGTTAACTGTGGTCTCGAGATCCTATTCATACGGGCTTTGATATCGAGTCTCAATTGTTCAGATTACACACCCCTCTGTCATCCATCTAAGGTGTCGACGACAGGGAGAGGGGAGTTTTTGTGTTTGTGCGGGGACTTACATCTAGGCAAGGAAAGGAAAAAAGAGACAGGGAAGAGAGATAGGTCTCAGATGACGGAAAGCGAGATTCACCCAAGCTTAAGCGCTAACCACTTGCATAGCCCGAACCCGTACCCGTTCCCCACGATTTCGGGGGACCGTTCACCGCCGTTGTTGAGTCACTGAACACGCTCGAGATACGGTGTACGCACACATTTTTCCGTATATGTGTTGTGAATCACTGTGAATTGGCAAAAATGGATTGGTCCCCTTGGGGGTTGGTTAATTCTCGGCGCCGATATCGTCTTTGGGGGGGGGGGGGGTTTGGCACAAGATTGGTACCAGTATCAATTAGCGTAGTACGAAAACAGGGAAATTCAATCAAGTATCCACGTGACGATGGTGTCTGTGGTTTGCGATTTGCCCTTTCTCCCTTGCATGGGGCTTAAAACCTTGAAGCTTGGAAAAGTCGTTCCCTCATTCCTCTCTATTTCTCTGTCTTTTCATTTGCCGGGGGCCCTGCAGCGGATGAGACCACGGGATCGGACGTGCGTGGAATTCTTCGAGAGAGGTTCTGAGCGAATCCTGTATCGTCACGTGGATGAGGGGGGGGGGGTGGTGTATCCGTACAAGTGCGAGGTTGGCGAATGGGCAGAAACATGGCAATCATGGCAAGGCATTTTTGCTGCTCGTAGATCATTTGATTGGCAGTGGATGAGGGGACATAGGGTCGGGATGAGGACCGCCGTTGCGGTGGATCTTCATGGGCTTTTTTTTTTGGCGAACCCTGGGATTTGTGGCCGACACGACTTACATGCTCACCGACGGCGACGGCGAAGGTTGACGGGGGTTCTGACGATGGTATCATGTATGGAAGTTGAGAAGATCAAAGTGTTCCCAGATACACCCCCCCCCCCCTTGGTGAGCTGAAGCGAGAAGGACAACGACGATGGTGATGCTGCCTGGTGCTGTACGGACAGTGTAGGCCAAGGCCGATTTTGGCCCGTGGACGTGGTGACGGTCCCCGGTTTCCTCCATTGCGAGATGGGAGGCACGGCTCTTGACTGGAGGTATGTCGTCTGCCGGCTGCCGATCGGTCAAAAGGTGAGGCTTTCGCGAGGCGGTCCTGTGACCCATCTTCTGAGGGAACGTGAGGGAGCCGATGCATGGCCAGCAGAGCGGCTGGCGTATAAGCCTATGAGGTAGAACCAAGGTACGGGAATAGCGGCTTCGGTGGCTTCAGTGGCTGCAGTGGCTGGAACGGATGGCGTACGTCGCGTGTGGCTTGGACGGCCCCAGTGGCGGGCCATTAAAGGTTGTCGTTGTGATTCGGAGGCTAAATTTCCTCGGTCAATGTCCATACCCTTAGGTACCATGTCTTGAACCCTTGTTTTCCTTTAGTGAGGTCAAGGGTTGAGTCTCAATCCCTACGCACCACGAGCCTTCCTTCGTGTTGGTTACCCTAGTTGCTTAGCACCTAAGATACTGAACAGTGTCATGGATGGGATAAAGCGGTTAAAGGCGGACGCCCCAAAAGAGTACGAAAGTACCTGGATCTTTGCTGAAAAGAGAATGGGGCCTTGAAAGGGAAGGACGGACGCTAACAGAGCAATGGAGCGGCCCAGCGGTCCCGTTTGTCTCCACTTCTCAGCGTCCGCCACCCCGGACGCCTTTGACGCAGGGGCCATCCCTAAAGTCGGGGCCGCAATCGCCAGGAACGAATCATAGGCGCGCGTTTCGGCTGCGCGGCTACATTCTGGCACTTTGGATGACTCCTTTAGGAAATTCTATTCTTTGACTGGGCGACTCGCCAACCGCTCACAACCTCTCATTCTCCTTCAACCCTTCAACCCCTTCCTTCACCATGGACCCTTCAACCACCAAGGGGAATAGAAAGTCCCCACTACCAGGGAGACATACTCCAACGACAGCCTCTCGTTGTCGCCGGCCCAGCGACTACCCAGACCAGCACTGCCTCACGGCGAGACTCTCTGCCGCCCAACGTTGCCATCTATCTGCTGTCGTCGCTCCTCATTTGCTGATTATTGATATCCGCCAATGGTTTCCAAGCCTTTTTGGGGGCAGGGGGCCCTGAGGTCTGAATTTTGGCCGATTATGCCCTATCATACTCTCTCATGATGGGAAAAGCTCGGGGGCTATTGTCTTCCGCGTCGACATGGTGACACTGGAGACGTCCAGAGTTCGCAACACCATCGCTCCACCAATTTTTCACGCCCGCTGCGATCCAGTCGCGCTTGCAGAGCCCAAGGTAATCTCTGCAAAGCAGGAGCCCCCCTTCGTAGACCTTCGTGAGTCGCCGCGATGCCACTCGGGGGCTACTTGGTTGGCCACCGACCAGCCGGCCTTCTTAAGCGAGGTCGATCGGGTGGCATTGTTTCTTTAGGCACAGGCGAAAGCTCGTTCGTTTCGAAGCCGCGCAGCAAGTTCGTTAGTCGAACCTGAAAGAGTCTTTTACTTTTTTCTTCTTTTCTTACACTCTTGCTGCGGGAGTCCTCCGCCGAGTGGCAGTCGTAGGGGTCCGAAGAACTGGCCCCCATGCCGCCCTGCCGCGATATGGAGCCAGACCAAAAAAGATTGGGCTTGGATGACTTTTGGCTCAGTATCGAGTGGGAGCGACATCGTCATCTCATTCTTCGGGTCATCGCCCGATTCTTCTCTTTGCTCACCTTTTCATTCTCGTCATTGTTGCATCTTTCTTCCTGAAGTCATCTTTTGCTCGATCAAACTGCTTATTGGGTTCCTTTTGTGAGGCCTCTTGCCACCTGATGAACAACATAGTAGCCACTCCTTGTCTTACACCCTTTCATCTGTGAATAGCGACAATCCCATTGTACCTGCTTGTCTCTTTCAACTCGAAACCTCTTCAACCCACGACTTACTTCTACGCCTTTGTGTCTCGTTTCTCCTCCCCGCAAGGGTCTCGGGGCCTCGTTACTCTCCTTCCGTGGTCATGAACCATTGACACAAGCCGCCACCTGACTCCCGACTTACACAACTGTTGCTACGCGCCTCTGACTCTGCGGTAAAAGCTCAGACTTCACCGCCGGCCCTGCAACACCATCAAGCAACGTCCGGGCTGAAAGAGGCCCAACTATTACACCATCATAAACACAATACACTACCCCCAAACTCGGAACATGTCGAGATTACGAGAATGCACACGAGTCGCGGTGCTCTCCATCCTCATCGCCTCTGCTCATGCCGCCTCCATCCCCTCCGTCTTTGGGCGACAAGACAACACTTGCGCCGCCTCGGGCTTCACCTCCTGCGGCAACGGCCTCCCAGGAAACTTTTGCTGTGGTACGGGCAAAAAATGCATCACTCTAGCCGGGAACACCACCGTCCTCTGCTGTCCCGAAGGGGAGAGCTGCGACAGAATCTCGCCCATCACATGTAACATCAACCTCCAAGATCCCGTGGCACACCCCGATGCCTCCATCAAGACCACCGTCCTCAACGGCACACTCGCAACCTGCGGCGACAGCTGCTGTCCCTTTGGATACAGCTGCAATAGCCTGTCGCAGTGCACGAAAGACTCGGACCAGACCAAGGCGCCGGAGGAAGCCTCCACCCCGGTTCCAAAGCCGACGTCTACCGCCACCGCCGTCCCAAGCGTGATCCCGACGACCATCGCCGCCAGCACGACGCCCGCGGGTGACAACAATAACAACAATAACAACGGCAACGGCGACAGCGATAACAAGAACGGCACCTTCCCCACCGCCATCGTCATCGGCTCTCTCTGTGGCCTCCTCGTAGGCGTAGGCCTCGGCGTCGCTCTTCTCCTCTTCTGCGCCCGCCGCCGTCGCCGCGGCCCGCCTCCACTCAGCGAGAAGAAACGCGGCGGCAGTGGTGGTCCTCGCCCGTCGACGTCCACCTCGTCCTTTGGCAACATCATCTCGGAGCCCATCCCCATCACGGACAACGCCACCGTGCGGACGGACTTCATCCTAAAGACCCCGTCCACGACGCACTCCCGCTCGCGAAGCGACTCCGGCTTCGTCACATCGCCGGCGGGGTCCACCCCCAACAAGGGCCACAACCGCCTCTCCTCGACGGCGACGACGCTGGCGCACCACCCGATCGGGCTCGCGCGCAGCGACTCCGCCCCGCGGACGCCGCCCGGGAGGGGAGCAGGCACCGGAGCCGTCGCTCCCATCAGGGGTATGCGTCCCAACTCCGGGTCCAGGCGCCTCCAGCCGCCCAACGTGCCGAACCCGCTCGCGCCGCCGAAGCCGGGGTACATCAACAACAACAGCAGCAACAACCAATCACACCTCCAGCGCGAGCCGAGCAGCGAGAGCATCAGCGTGTTCGCGGACCCGCGGACGGTGGGCGGGCGGCCTGGGGTGAAGAGGAACACGACGTTTACGGATATGATGGAGGAGGCGGAGCTCGGTGACGTGCGGAGGGGGAAGCCGTATGTGCCGTACACGCCGCAGATGCCGTCGCAGCCTGCTCGATGATTTCTTTTTGTCTCAAGGGGAGTGAAGGGGGGGGAGTGGGATGTTGAGTGTGTCTTTCTTGATGATATTGAAGTTTTTGTAATGTCGGCATATTTGCTCCTTCGCTTCTTCTTCCCTTGTTTCTCGTATTTCTTCTCATATTCTTTAGAGAAACATTCAACATGCTGGACATGAAGACGGAGATTTGGAGAAGATTATAGGCCTGGCAGACATTCGCTTGACGCTTAGAAGACTTGGGCAGATTGTACCTCGCGGCAGTGGCAAAAGGGGCGTTTCATGTTTTTTTCTTTCCTTTGCTATTCTGGTCAGGATTATATACCCACGGTCGCTTTACTTGTCTTTCGTTGTTGGTGTAGGTTCAGTTATATAGGTTGATTAGTTTGAAGCCTAGGTGACACTCGAGTAGGCAGAGGATATATAAATACAAATCTTGTTTGCACGGATATCCATGATAAGGGCTCACCCGTGACGAGAACTTCCTTGAGAAATTAGACAATGGGAGGCATGGTTCATGTTAAGTAAGAGGTATTTAAATATTGGCTGTATATGGTTCTGGTGATGATCTCGAAAGAGCATAACAAGAGGTCGGCCGTGAACGACAGTCATTTAGGCATTCCATGTCCGACATCTAATAACCGAAAGCGAGGTAGAATTTCTGCGAAATGGCTTGCCATAACGGCCGAGTGTAAGTTTTATACGATGACCAGACATCGGTTCACACTCACTAAAAGTCCGCACCATACCTTCCTTCCTCGACAAGATCAACAAACTACGATCAAAACGCCACTACCGACACCAAAGATACACATCTCGAAACACATCTCCAACCTCACTTCAAGCCCACTAAAAACATTAGAACCAAAAGTGATCAACAAAAACAAACTATTCAGTAGAAAAAAAAAACGCCTAAACGTTCGGACATAGCTGCACCGCCGGGATGTCTGACACCCGGGGTTGAACCCGTGATGCCGGCAATCGATGGAGGATCTACAATCCTATGAGAACCTCACCTCCCCTCCACCAGGGGTATCTTCTATCAGGTGTTTAACCACTCGAATACAGCGGCCCAGGGCGTCCCCTGGGATTCGAGAGGTAAACAGAAAATTGTGAGTGATTAAGGGTATCAGGTGGGCGGTGTGAGAGGTATGAGGTACGGCTTGTGACCTTGGGGGGTGAGTTGGGATGAAAGGGTTCTGGTGAGAGGTTTGATGTTGTTTTCTCTCTTTCGCCATGAGGCTATGCACTATGAGGGTGAGTGGAAGGTGGTCTTATGGGAGGAGACTGGTTACAAAGGTGAACAAACGGCCAGACTCTTGGAACGTGATGAGCCATGCTCAAAGGAACCTTATATAACCGCGATGGTACACGTCGTAGTCGACCACGAGCATAACAGACGATTTCAAAAGACCAATATGTTACCATGGTTTTTTTTGTACCTTCTCCTTTACGCAGCTAGCGCCCTGTCAGATTTCGAGGCCCTAGTGCAGGTTCACAAGGCTGTACCATATCCCGGCGTGCTATGCTCTTCTTTCGGACGGAGAATCTTTAACAAGTCGACGCATTGATCACTTCCAAAGGGATGTCCCGGTAGAAACGCTCATCACTTGAACCCATCAGGAATAACTTCTATCCAAGTGCTTAGCCAAGAAA